AGATTGATATGTAATTTTTTTATTTTTAAATTAAAAATATAAATTTAATATATTTAAACAAAAAATTAAAAATTTATTACTTTATTTATAAACTAATAAAATTATTATTTTTAAATAAAAATAATAAAATTTATACCTTCATTTACACCTTTTCTTATTTATATAATGCCTCTCTAATTTTAACTAATTAACTTTTTGGCCGCCTTTAACTAATCCTTTTTTTTTTTTTTTTGGGTAAACCGCCTTTAACTAATCATTTTTTTTGGGGGGGGGTAAACCGCCTTTAACTGATCACTTACCAACTTTTAATTAACAATTTATTTTTAATGAAAAAACAAGACAACAAAAAGAAACATGATCTATTCTTCAATTCTCTTGGATTCTTCAAAGTACCCAAAACCCAGGATTTTAACTTTGAGTTTCTCTATTTCAAACCAGGATTTTAACATGATTTCTTCTTCTGGATTCTTCCATTTCCTTGCTTTTCTTAGCTGATTCCTCCTCTTCGCACCAAACGGCAAGATTGATTGATTGATTTTTTAGCCTCCCTGAGGGACGGAGCCAGTCTAGGACAAAGGGGGGCAGTTGCCCGCCCCCCTCAATTTTTGAAAAATGTTTAAATATGGTACAAATATTTTTGTTTTCACAAAATTTTATTTTTGACGTTTGAATTATAAGAAGCAGTCAAATATAGACAAAATATTTATAACTTAAGCAAGGGGATCATTTGTGATTAATTCTTGTGAAGACACAATAATTAATTTTATTTAAGTAAGAATAAATATAAAAATATATTTTAAATCTTGTTATATTAAATATAATTTATATAAATCATTATATTGATTGAATCTATTTTATTTATATAAATATATTTCAAATTTAATATTAATTTAATATATATAACCTTACCAAGAAAATAAATTATACTTTTATACTATTTATTTAAAGATTTTAAATTACATGTCATTTAAAATAGTTAATATATCTAATTAATTTAAAATTTAAAATAAATAATATAAGTGGTACATAAATAAAATTAATAATTAATATAAAAATTAATATAAATTATGCCATATAGACTAATAATTAACTCAAATAAAATTTTAAAATTTTGTTCCCCTTACAATGAATTCCTGACCCCGTTCCTGTCCTCCCTTTTGTGCCATAATTTTTGGGTGTAGATCGTGTGGGGGTCCGTCTGCTGATAAACCCACAACACTGCTTCCTCAGATCTCACATGAAAACAAACAAAATCCAAAGACTCATAAAAACCAGATCAATTTCAAGCAACCAGATTCACAAATGCCATGTTCTTCGCCTCTCTTCTCTGTGGAATGTAGGAATCGGGAAGAAATGCATGTTCTTTGAAGAACAGATATGGGTTCTCCGAGAACCCACAAACCCAGATATGATGGATGGATTTCAATCGAAGAAGAAGATAGAGGACAAGAGCGAGGGGGAATCGATCTGGGTTCTTCACTTGGGAACCAATATGTGATGAATTGCAGATGGGTTTTGGTGATCAGATAGGAAGGAGAAGATAGGAGAGAGGGAAGAAGTAGGGGTATATGAGTAATTTCATTATAAATATAGTTTATTTATAAGAAATATAAATTAATTATAATGACAAATGTATAATTAAATAAATTTTAAATCAAAGTTGGACTATAATTTCGTTCCATAGAACCATCTTTTACCAGATGGATTTTTCTGCGTAATTTAGGGGAAGAAAAATAATAAGTTTTCTTTTAGTTAGCGTGATACATAAGTAAAAAGTTGTTAGAATGACTAAAACAAAGTTAAAAAATTAATTTTTAATGACTATAAAATTTTTATTTAGTTAAGGAATCAAATTAAAACTCCAAACTAAAGAGACCAAAAATGAGTTTTAATTGTAAAGTAATTCAAAATCAGTGGTGTAGCAATGAGAGGAAAAAACAGAGGCGTCATGAGAGAGAGAGGTAGAGAGAGAGAGAGTGAGAAGGGATCGAGGTGGACATCGTTCAAGGGATAGACAATCAGCATTGATCTGGGAGCAAGGTGGATCTCGTCGAAGAATCTACCAAAGGACCAGGGATCCGAGAGTTTTGGGGAAAACATGGGATGATCAATACCAGGGTCGAAAAATGCAGAGAGATGGGCCGTATAACTGGGGTCTCTACAAACAAGCAACAACATTTTTCTTTACCAATGTTCCAGATGACTGGAGCTATGAAGAAATGTGGAATACGTTCTTGAAATTTGGCTGAGTGTATGACATCTATTCCCCAAATAGAAGGAGTAGGAATGGAAGTAGATTCGGCTTTGTGAGGTTTCTAGGGGTGACAGACAAAATGGAACTGGAGAGAAAGCTGGATCAGATCCGGGTAGGAGACCAGAAACTGTGGGTGAATATGCCCAAGTATGATGCTGAGAGGCATGAAGATGGGGTGAAAAAAAAAAGAAAAAGTTACGGAATGATGAAAATAGATCAGAAGAGGAGTTATGCCGAGGTGGTGAAAGGAAAAACTGAGAAGGTAATAACAGGGGATCAGAGCATTCAAAGCTTGGTGGGCCGAGACAGAAGCAGAAGAAATGAAAAGGAATGTAAGAAGTATGTAGGGCAAGACAAGCAAGGGAGTTTCAGTTATAGAAGTAGACACCAGTACCGGCATACCGCAGATAGGAAGGTGTGGAAAGAAAGAGGAAGGGGAGAGAAATGGGCAGGTATGGAGTTCAACGTTAAACCTGAAGAGTATGCCTGGCTTGAAGGCAGCTATGTTGGAATTGTGCACTCTGTAGAGTTAGTTCGCAATTTACAAGAAAAATAAGAAAAATTTTTTATGGAGGGGTATTTTTCTTGTAAAATCCGAGCAATGGGAGGCAAAATGGTTCTGTTAACAGGCCAAGATAAGGAGGAAGTGAAAGACTTAGTTGAAATGGCTCCAGAGTGGTTAGGGCAATGGTTTGAAGAGGTGAAGCCGTGGACACCACAGATGACAGCAAAAGAGAGATATGTGTGGATAAGGTGTCAAGGGGCTCCTGCGAATGTATGGGGAAGTGAGTTCTTTTCAACCATGGGCCGTTCATGGGGAAACTTCATGTGCTTGGATGACAGTACAAGCAAGAAGGAAAGGTTTGATGTCGCAAGATTTCTGATTTCTACTCCAATAATGGAGACAATATCAGTTTCAAGGGAAATCAAAATCAATGGAAGCTTTTACAAGCTGAAATTTACAGAAGAGGAATTCACCAATTGCTTTTTCTCCTTGAAGCAGGATTTTATCCCCTCTTTTAACAGTGAATCCGAAGATAGGGAGTCATGGTCCACCGAAACAGAGCAGGACAGGCTTGAGGAGGAAAAGGCGTGGAGGAACGAGGAGGCTCAATTCGGGTGCCCAGCTGAAGAAGATGATGACGTAAGAAGACGTAGGATAGAGGACGAAAGAAATATGGTTGATCAAATCAGCAAGGAAGCAGGGGAGGCAGCAGAGACCGTTGGTGACAACCTGGACGAATTTCAAATTTCAAATGCAAGGGATAGAAGCAGGAGGATAGATGGTGGGGCTACAAGTCAAACGGTGCAGGCCTCATCTTCGGAAAGTGTAGATAAATCAGGAGAAGGTTCTAATCACAAAATGAAGCCCAGTGAACAGCCAATAACAAAGCCCACCTC